AGGCCCGCGGGGGCTGGGGTGCCTGGAAGGTGGGGGGCCTGCAATGGCCTTGCTGAGCACCTCAGGCCTGCCCCTCCCTCGTGCAGGGCGCGGGCGGGGGTGGGGCTGTGGTGGGGGGTGAAGGAAGACAGGCCGCCCAGTCCCAGCTGGGCTTTTACTGGCCTGTCCACTGGTTTCCTGCCAGGGCTCCCCGCCAGGCATGCGCTGGGGGGGGTCTCCCTGCACAGGGAGCCCCAAAGCAAGGGTCCCACTATCTCGGCTTGTGGCGCCGCGGGCAGCTGAGTGCAGAGGACGCCCTGGGTCACTGGGTGGGCGGTGCCAGGCTGTGGGTCCACAGGGCCTCTGTCAACACCCCGGTGGGCCGCAGGCGCTGGCGAGGCCCAGCTGGAAGCCCCCCTCCCAGCCTCCAACCCCGCGAGCCCTCTCCTGTGGGAGCAAAGCTTTGTGGTGCAGCCAGAGGCCAACCTGCACCCCGACATCTCCTGGGCACTGGCACACTCTCCTGAGCTGCGGTCATTGGCCGGCCCTGGGCCTGGGGCCCAGCAGAGCACTGGTGGCTTCAGGGGCCCCCGGGCCAGAAGGCGGCTGCATTTGCCCCCGAGGATGCCCGCCGCCCACCTGTGCCCCTGGCAGGGCCAGCCCTGGGGGCGCTGAGGGTCCCTGAGAGGTAGGGTGTGCCTGCTTCCTCTCAGGGCACCAGTCCGTGTCAGGGTACAGCAGGCAGTGGACAGACTTGAACCTGGGGTGAAAGGGGAGTCAGGGCTGCAGGAGGGCACAGCCCCGCCCACCCTGCTCACAGTGCTCCCGCCTCACCGCGTGGGGTCCTGCTGCAGGCTGAAGCCTCCGGCCACATTCACCACGTTCTGGGGGTTCTCTGGGCCCCCGTAGCTCAGCGTGACCTGGGCGCGGGGACAGGCAGGAGCTCTGCGGGGGTCACCCCGCCTGGGCACTGCCCCGAGAAGCAGCACAGGCCCCGCCCACCAGGAGGCGCCCAGAGGGTGGGCAGTGTCCCGCCAGCCCTGGGGCCCGCAGGTGGCTGTGGGACGCCCAGCCCCGGGCCAAGGGGCCCCGCTGTGCGCACGCACCTGCCGGGGCACGCTGTCGGGGGGCAGGCGCCGCAGGTTCTCCAGGTGGGAGTGGAAGAGCGCGCTGCGCTGCAGGCGGGCGCCCAGCAGCCCCTCGGCGATGTAGCCCACCGTGCAGTCGTCCGGCAGCCGCACCCGCTCGGCCGTGCTCATGAAGCTGCCCAGGCTGCGGGCGGGGCGGTCAGGGCCAGGCCTCAGGCCCGTGGGGGACGCGCCCGCCCCGTCCCCCCTCACCTGGCCCACGGGCTCATCTTGAGGGCGAGGCCTCTGCTCAGGCAGAACCCGGCGCCCCCGGTGGCGAACCAGAACTTGACGGTGGTGGCCTGGAAGGAGGCGCCGGTCAGGGAGCCCCAGGAAGGCCGGC